GAGCGATAGCTAGTTCAGGCAGACCCAGTTTAAGATCACCTCATTTGCAAGTCTAGCTCCTTCTTAATTTAGAATGTTTTGTTTTCCAACTCGTGGGCATCTGTAGACAACAGCAAAACATTCCACTGAACATCCTGTAGCTTAAATAAAATGCTTTCATAATTTGGAACAGTTCAGAAAATGATGTAGCTGTCAGCCTCATAAACTTAAGAGTTCAGGCAGAGGCTAGATTTTGATTCTAGATTATCCGAATGCAGGTAACATAGATTGGAAGGCTGTGATCTCTAAGGTCCTTTATTTCTTAAGATGTAATGATCCACAGGCTGTCTCTGTACTGGATGACCTGAAAGATTACCCTCATCTTCAAGGACAAACAGGGGGAAGAACATCAACAGAAAACAAGAATATGATGCAACTCAATAAACATCTCCACATGTCCTAGTTGGCTATTATTTATTTGATCTCTTCTCATTTTGTTTGAATTGGCATATCTTGATAGTACCAAGCTTGTTGTTTCAACTCCAACATAAAAACCCTGCAGGGATAAAATGAGAGTTCTGAGTTCAGATATATCAAGTATTCAGATAATCAAAAAAAAAAAAAAAAGCTTAGAAAATAAAATAGCCATAACATTGGAACAGTTAAGCCATGTGAAAATACTCAACATCATTCTATTTAAAATAATTACTAATAATTACAATAAAAGCATTTAACATAATTCCATTCTCTCCTCCCTTTTCCTTTAGGCATTTTCATTTTAATTGCACTTGTATATTTTCTTTTTCAGGCCAGATATCATCCAATGTAGTCAGGGTTCTCCATTCCCCCTCAATTTGCTTTAGCTTGAATGTTTCTTGGAAACTAAAAAAAAAGTATGTTTTAAATTCTAGGTTAGTGTTTCCCTAATCCTCTTGCTCCAAGTTCGTCAGCACATACTCTTTGCTCTTTTGAGAAAATCTAGATGCAGAACCCATTTGGTTTCTGAGTGGTCCCAAGGAACTCATGGCCACACCATAAGTGAGCAGGGTAGATTTTCTAACATTTGCCTGCACAAGATGGAGAAGCCAGCCAGCGTCGGACACCCCTCCTCAAACCACCCGAGTAGATCTTCTTGCCTCCAGCCACGTTTCAGCTCAACCTCCTTGGAAGTTTTCTTTCCTCTTTTGACGTTTTTCTTCCTCGCTGTCCACCTTCACTCTAGGGCCTTGGCTACTCTTTCCCAGATTTTCCTCAGAAATTTCTCCTTCTTTCTTGGGTGTGTGGGGTAAATCAGATCTTCTTTTGGATGTCCTCTCAGTACCATTAGTTGATGTTACATGGATGATTTGAGGTCTGATTTTCCTCAGTAGCCACAGTAGTCACACTCAATCTGGGGGCACAAATATGGGACAAAGCGGGTGTGGAGAGTGAGCCGGACGGTGCTACCCTGTTCCTGTGAAGTTCATGAGTCCACCAGCCCCAAGACATGGTCAGCAGGATTCTGTTCCTTTCCAGGGTCCACATTTTTCATGGCTCTCAAGACTGCATTCCACAAGACTTTTTATTCCCAACTCCACATCTACAGACTTGTTGAGATGGGAATAAGGACCACAATGATCCAGATGATTATACCTTAAATTTATAGGGCACTTGTCTAAGGAACTCAGACTTCAGCTGAGGATCCAAGACTTCCCATCACCTCCCCTCCCTAAATATCATAATCCCCAAAGTAGTGATTAGGCCTACACATGAAGATATGTGAAGAGCTTAAATACTTTTTAAAGAGTTAGCCCTGGGTACAGTGTTCTGGCACGCCCCACCCATACCCCAGTCCAGGGGTGATGAAGTCGGAAGCAGCGGTGAGTTTGGGCACCGATGGTTGTTGTAAGGTAGTTTACTCTCTGCCTAAATAAAGCACCAAGATACGCATCAGGGATTGTCAGGGAAGGTGTGCATCAACTGTCAGCCCCCGATAGTCACCGACCACAGATTCTTCTAAGACGTGCTCCCCACCTCCCACCTAGGACCAACTGCCTTCTTTACTCCACCTGTTCTGTCATCTCTGCAGGAAGAGGATAAGAGAGAGAGGCCTGCAGCTTACCTGAGGTTAATGATTACCCTGTGGCTTTTCTCTGCCGTGTACACATGCTAATGTTTTTTATTATCACCTGGAAACTTTTACAGGGAAAGAAAGGAATGCACCACAGGCGCAGGTTACCCATAGCCTTCCTCACTGTGGAGTGTGTGTGTGTGTGTGTGTGTGTGTGTGTGTGTGTTTAGTCAACAGCATATTATAAAAGGAAGAACCTAAGGCCAAGAAATGACTCCAATCAAAGCGACCTCTTCCAAAGTGTGTTGTTGAACCCTGAAAGAAATGCTCCTGCATGATTTCCAAGTGACGTTCGCGAGGGCAATCTGCATACTGCATGGGACAGGTATTACCGCCCCATTGATTTAAATGGATGTTTTGCACCATCAGCACACCCAAAGCACACATGGAGAACCTTCATTTACATGCCTTAAATACTGCCTTTACTAGGAAAGTGCGTGTCTTCGTGTGGTTAAGAGACTATAATTTTGGCCCAGCAAAGCTGCTTTTTGGTTGATAAAATGAAAGCCTTTGGAGATTAATAGGTTCTGTGTGCCCTCATTCATTTTTCACAGGTACAACCGTGCTGATTCCTGCACCATAGCAATTTAAGCCTCACCTGAGAGGTAGGAATCATGGTGCAGTCTTCCCCAGATGGACCCTGTTTGTCCAGTCTCCCACAATCCTCCAGTTCCTAAGTCAATACCTTCTCCTCCATAGACTTCTGAGAGTTAAAACTAAACTTCACAGCAAGTATGAAGCTATTTGAAGGGGTCAAACATCTCGCCCAGTAAAGATTACTACAGTAGAGCTCACTGAAATGACCTTTGGGGTCTTTGGAATACTTCTTCCCTAGACAAGTGTGCTACACACAAAAAGTTGTATTTCCCCCAAAACATATTTGTCTCAAGGTTTAAGCCCATCCACAAGAAAAACATAGCTGCCTTCCATGGTGTCCCCACCTCGGTCCCTATCAAGGCTATGCTAATCTCTCTTATAAGTGGCTCAATTTTTTTTACTACATTTGGGGCTTACTGCTGTGTGGCTTTTAGGTTGGGATTCTTTTTTTAAAGCTTTGTCTAAAGGCTATCCATTTGATCAGAGAGTAACATCCTGAACACATCTTTTATCATTTCCCAGTCAGACCTGGGCTGCAGGTGGAATCCTGCAGCTATTTTGTTTAACATTAAAAATGATTTCATTTTGCTGCCAAAAGCTGGTCTTGCTGATCATGTTGCTCCTCAGAAGCCTAGAGAACTAGGGCTTTACCTATGTTTCAGTAGTGAGAGATGGCAGACAATCCTAATTAAGAAAGAAACAAAGACAGGGAGAAAGACTACAACATAGAACAAGAACAGCAACTCGACTGTGGTCGCTATTTCCATAATCCAAAGGAGGCCGGGAAATTGTCAAGGCCGCGGGGACTGCTTTCAAGAGCAGTCTCCACTCCAAGACAAAAGCAGAGATGCCGCTGAACCTGCTCAGATCCCACTCCTTCCTTCAGTTCAGTGAGGATTTCAATTTAATCCAGTGTTGCAAACCCACCAACTCAGTCGAAAACATTGCAAATTCTGAAGGGCAACTCATTGTCCTATTGCATTCACTATTTGGATTCAGAGAGTCTGAAGCTGTTTGCCCCAGGCATTATTTCTTCTTCTCCTGATTTCAGATCATCAGTTCAGATCTCCTGCTTGAGGACTTAGAATTGATATAGGTAATGTCGACATCCGCAGTACCATAACCTGCTGTAGCTGACACTCCGTCTGTTGACTCGGGTATCTAATCCTGCTACTGAACAAGTGAACCTATATTATTTATAGTCCTGAATAATGGCGGTGACCATCACCCAGAGTAGCAGAACGTGAAGACTAACTCTGAATACAGCACAGGGGAAATCCAACATTCTCAATCAAATCAGAACCTGTTTGTGCATTTGGCTCCCATAATAGTTTCTTTGTGTTCTACATACAAGCATCAGAAAAAAGGAAAGGAATCTATCTCTAGAATTAGAAAAGGCCTGGCTTTGGCATCAGACTCTGATGCCTGATTCTGCTGACTCACGTGCAGAGAAGACAGTGCCTGCTAGGTACTTCCTGATGTTCCCATCTTGAATACTTCCAACTGACGGAGCCAGCTTAATGACCCACAGACAGAAATAACTGTGGAAAAAGTTCTGGCTCCGGGAACATTAAAGACCACATATCTCTTATTCAGCCCTGCAAATTTACTGAAATATTCTTCAAAATTCAGAGGATAAAAGACCATTTTAGTCCAACAAACTTACCCAAAACAGTGTCAACAGTCCTGCAAATGAAGAGAGTGATAGATTTGGGTTCTTTTATGGTCAGAAAGGGATGCAGAAATCACTTCAGTTGAGTGATTACTTTCTCTCAGACATTCTACATGTACCTCATTTATTTCTCACTACAGCAGAGATTATTATTATTTTTAAAATTTTGATGTATATTTTCTTTTTTATTTCATTGGGGTTCTTTTTAGTCATACATTACAGTAGAATTCATTTTGATATAATTATACAAGTATGAAATATATGAAAAAAATGTTCAACATCTCTAGCAATTAGAGAAATGCAAATTAAAGCTACACTGAGGTTTCATCTCACTCCAGCCAGAATGGCAATTATGGAGAATACAAGTAACAATAAATATTGGCAAGGATGTGAAGGAAAAGGTACACTCATACATTGCTGGAGGGACTGCAAATTTGTGCAACCACTCTGGAAATCATACTATCATGAACTTCATCTTTTTGAAAAATCAATTGAGACTAAAACAATGGTAATAACATCTACAATGACAGTTTCTGTACTAAGTGCTTTAAATGAATTATCTCATAGAAAACTACCCAGAAAAGACAGGTATTTTTATCCTCATTTTATAAATAAAGAAACTGGGGTATGTGGAGTTGGAGTAATTTGCCCAAGGTCACACAGCAGTGGTCAAGATTAAAACCCAAGTCAACTTTACTAGGCTACAACCACCACGGGAGCCAGATAGGATATACTTTACTTGTAATCAATCCTAGCACTTAGTTGCTGGTTATGTGAAGTGCAGTAGGCCTCTCTCAATTACCACTAACAATTAGGATGACTGAAAGCTTATAGTGTTCACTAGAAAATGAAGGCATCACTTAGACACAGAATCCAGATCAGTGTCTGGAGTCTCATCAATGGGTACTTGGAGGGACTATTACAGCTATTAATGTCTAAAGCAGTTTAACATATATGAAGCTTTGTGCAGGCTACTTCCCTGAATTGCTGACCAAGAAATCTCATGGTGATAAAAACATTAGTTTGAGTACCAATAAATACATTATTAACTATTTTCTCCATAATTTAAATTGTATTTGTTTAAAACTATAATCAATTACTGTATTTATTGAAAGTTGCTTTCAATTTTGGAAATGGAGTCCCTTTGAAGATTTTGTCAGACAAGGTCACATTTTTT